AACAATAATAGTTAATTTAAGAAGGGGCAGAGCCAGTTTATTTCCCTGCACTGCTGCATGGTTTTTTGAAAACAATTATTTAAAAATTTCACTTTTTCCAGTTACTTAAACAAGTTGAATGAAGAATATGGAAAAAATATTCATCAAGAGACATTCTTTTTCTTTCTAGTTCTCATTCAATACTATGACTGGGCTTCCCCTACAGTTGCACAGGGCAGAGCTTTTAGGGAAACTGTCCGATCACAATGATGGATTGATCAGGAGATGATTTACACACACTGTCTCTGGTAGATTCTCAAGTGCACCTCCCACTCCAGGAAATCGGATGGGGATGCAAGACAAGGTATTGCATAATTGACTGTGGTAAACTCACGACTGCAATATTCTAAGAGAGAGTTCGCTTCCCATTGTTTGTGTATACACACATCAGCATCAAATGAGTTAAAATTACCTCATGTCATTTACTCTGATACAATCAAACAAGCACCTTTTGCAGAACACAGAGTGAAATCAGGACTTGAGTGACAGAGAAAGCTACCAGACCTTTAGCACAACGTCTGGCAGCAATCACCAGGTACTAGGGTACATGAGAATGCTGTGGGAACACCAAGGGGTAAATAATGATCTACAGCAGCAATAAGGTGGAGAAATCGCTGTTGTTCCCCCCAATACTCTTAAAAGAGGATATGACTGATGCTTTCAAACCGACAAAGGAAATGAGAGAGTAAACACTGATACACCGACTGCTCGAAATCAACAGAAATGTTCTCTTTTGGGTCAAATGAAACATTTTGTTCAACCACAAAAATATTTCTGCCTTTCAATTCACCCAAAACTTCAAAAATGTTGGTTAGGGGTTGACTTGAAAATATTTTTTTCCCCTCTCGGAACTGTCAGTGAACTGAAAAAAAAATCAGTTATTTTCACAGCTCTTCAAGTGACACAAATGTGGATGAAGCGTTTTGCTGAGTAAAGAGTGCTCGGATCTGTCCTGAGAACACAGGGGATATCCCTGAAGAGTCACGGACACTTCCGTCCATTTGAATGCGGTCAGCAAGACTCTACAAGTAACGCCTACACTGCAGCTGGGAGCAAGCCTCCCAGGGGGTCAGACTCACACTAGTGGGGCTCGAGCCAGCATACTAAAAATAGCAGTGTGGATGTTGCAGCTTCGGCAGAGACTTGGGCTTGCCACCCAACCTCAGACCCAGAGAACGGGTGGGCTTGACAGTCAGACCTGCCACCCCAGCCACAATGTCCATGCTGCTATTTTCAGTGTGCTACCTGAACCCCACTAGCACAAGTCTGTCTGCCTGGGCTGGGAAGCTTGCTCCCAGTGGCAGCGGAAACATACCCTAAACCAAAGCACCCTAAATCCATCATTGTGCACAGGGAATGTGTGCAATCAACTACATTAAATACTTACCACTTCATTCCGACTTTCAATTGCGAAAGGGCTTTCCATCTTTCCACTAAAATTTACCCCTCTATAAGGATTAAGCAATTAGCCCAGGTGACTGTGCGATGGTGAAAGGCTAGGATTAGATTTGTTCATGGCTCAAGGCTACACTTGCAAGTAATAATTACAGCTCAGCCAGTGCAAAGGGCCATTGGAACTTTATAGTGAGACTCAAAGGTGGGGTGGCTGGCAAGGCTCCCCAAAGTAGGTCTTCTACAATCAAACATCAGGGCTTTAAGGAGAAAATATGGCTGAAATCTGGGCCCCCGTGGGAGTTTTGCTTGGGGTCAGGGTTTCATGCATTGTACTGAGGGCCTCCAGGCTGTTCCTGGAGAACTTTCTCAATAGAGCAAATTTTAAGATGTTCACATTTGTACATTCCCATAGAGAGGAATAGGCCTTTTCCTGTCAGGGGTCCCATTGTTCCCTGCAGCCCTTTTGCTACTGCCTGCAATGAAGTCATTGGCCTGTGCTTAGCCCCCACAGTATACTGTCACGTGACTGTGAGCATACTCACATTTTGCATAAACATTTTGATAATATTTTGCATTTTCACAGCCCCTCCTATCATAGGGTCTCAGGTGGCTTTGTAAACATCAGGGAGCCCTGGCCAAAGTCCCAGAGAGTTAGATATTACTTTGCAATTATTATTCCCATTTTGCAGATGGGGAAACTGAGGTCACATGGAGTCAGCAATACAAGCGGGCAGTGGAATCCATGGATGCTGCCTCCCAGTCCCTGTTGCTCCTCTGCTTTGGAATTGGTAAACCTGATTTTACACACCTCTGAAAAGGTGAAGACGCTTAAATTCTTTGGCCAATTTCCAACATTAAAGTTCCTCTTAGCTCCCCGCAACAATTCAAAGGCTGCCCATTTCCACGAATGAGGTCTCACTGCCCGAGGAGGGGGTGGGTGGGTGCAGGCAGTGGGGGGTGAACTCAGTGCACATGGAGAGGTGGGGGTGCAGGCAGTAGGGGTGTGCTCAGTGCTCACGCAGAGGTAGGTGTAGGCAGCTGGTTGAGTTTGTTGCATATGAGAACTACGTAACATCACACAGGGCACACCAGGGGAAAGGTGGCTTCTGAGTCTTGTTAGCATAATATCTGAAGGCAGAGGTAAGGACACCATGGGCAGGCAGTGGGGATAAGAACTCCCAGCTGTTCAAAACCTTGTTCCCATGACTCCGTGTGATGGAGCTTTCTTACATCGGGGCAAGAAGGGGCAAAGCAGAAGTCTCTTTGCAGGTGGCAGGGAGGGAAGGAGCCTGATGCTGGAGCCAGGGAGTGGGGTGGAAGCTGCACAGAACATGACATGGATGCACTTAGATACCAAGATGACAGCAGCCTTAAATTCCAGAGTACTGCGCTGTACCTTGCAAGCTTCCAGGGTTCATGGGGGCTGCTGATGGCTCTCAGGAGGAGACTGCAGAAGTGAGCTGTTAGTGGGGCAGTGACCCTGGGACTAGGGGAGGACACATGGGGAAGCAGGTGTGTGTGTGGGGGGGACTCATTGACTTTGGGGCAACAGAGAGTGGCTCAGTGCGCATAGAGGGGTGGGGAGAGGCAGGGAGCGGCTCAGTGCCCATGAGAGCAGGGGGATGGGCTCAGACAGGGGGTGGCTCAGTGCACATGAGAGCAGGGGGATCGGCACAGGCAGGGGGCGGCTCGGTGCCCATGGAGGGATGGGGGCAGGCGGCTCGGTGCCCATGAGGGCAGGGTGATGGGTGCAGGCAGGGGGTGTCTCGGTGCCCTGGGGGGACAGGGCAGCTGGGTGCCCGTGGAGGGATTGGGGCAGGCACGGGGGGGCAGCCTGGTGCCCGTGAAGGGGTGGACGGGGCGGCCCGGTGCCCGTGGAGGAATGGGGGCAGACGAGGGGGCGGCTCAGTGCCCGTGGAGGGGTGGGTGCAGGCAGGGGCTGGCTCAGTGCCCATGATGGCAGGGTGATGGGTGCAGGCAAAGGG